ACTCATCAATTATTCTGCAGGATGTTGTAGCCATGATTCTTATCAGTGCATCAGCAGAGTCACCTTGGCTGTGACTACAACAGGACATGCTAAAATACCTTTTCATTACCGCGCACATAAAAGCATTTAGCCGTTATCTATTCATTCTAAAAGGATGGCCTGACCTTGCCATCTGCTTCCATGGTCAATGAAAATCCAGAGAAACAACGGCTCTGTGATTGCTCTGACGTTTTTGGTGCAGTGTTGCAGTGTTGTTATACATGGCACTTAAAATTCATCATTAGGTGCACAAGCTTTTATTCCTTTATGTAAAACACAATACTAATTGCTGCAGTGTCATTATAATACAAAGCCACAGACAACCAAAAACAAAAGAAAGGAAAAGGTGGAAATTCCACATAAGGAGAGTCAACATCACGCTAAAGAAGTTAAATTAAATGGGATCATGAGTCCTAATTATTCAGTGTCATCATCCTTTAAAAGATAGCAATAAGGAAAAAGGCCATCCTTACACTAATAATCTGCATGTCTTTTTTTATTCAGGTATAGATTGACAGCAGAACTGATATCAGATCAGAAAATAAAAAGCCCTTTTCTGTAAAACACCACTATCTAACACCAGCATGGAGCCAATTTCCTTATAAGCGGGAATTTATCATAATTGAAAACGTGGTTATATGTTGGATCGTTGCAAGATTAACCGATGTCAGAGCACATTTATACAAAAATTAATGGCTGAGGGTCGCCGGCAGCAAACAAGTCAGCGGTTGGAAGTCACTGTTTGAGTTAGTGACATGTGTCTTTCTCAGTATGTGATGTACATCTGCTTCACAGAAAATCGGCTTAATCTACATCCCACTTTGGCCTTTCGACTTCCCCCAGGGCATCAAACTGACAACATGGAAGCTGCGAATGCCATGTTTGCAGTATCAGAGCCCCAGTGTGTAGCCAGAGTCTGCTCGGGCTGATTTGCTGCATGGCTGTGCATAGCAGTGGAGCAGGCTGAGGAGCAGCAGGGATGGGTTCAGGGGACTCAGCCTGTAGACGTTACATCTATCGCTGCCACAGCCGGGGGGGAGGTAACACGCAGAGAGGGGTGTTGGTGTGAGTTTAGACATCAGCTAAGGACATATGAGGTTTATGAGAAGGGAGGGGAAAGACTCATGTAAGTTATTATTCCAATCAGGAGAGACTTTTTTCTGATTTAAGAATATGTATTGACCCGAGCAAGATGATCGAATTAGGAAGTGTCTGGCATTTAGACCCCATCGTAATATGATGTATCTTTACAGGGAGGTGCAGCCGTAGGTAGAATATCCCCCCTGGGGTCCAGACATGGGTGGTGATCAGATGTTGATAGGATAAAGAGTATAGATACAGATTTGGTGGACTTGTGATGAGCTTTACCTGGGCACTGGAGGTGGAGGGGATGGATGAGGGTCGCAGCCATGTCGCCTGAAATGACAGCTGATCACAGAGAGGAGAAGAAGATATTTAAGGTTTAACTGCAGCACAATGATTGGCTATTCGTGGCAAAAGGTTAACGCCAATACAGGCCTATTAGAGGCAGCTGGGGAATTGGGAGAAAGAATGAGTAACGTCTTCCTGATTGAACTTGCACAAAGCTTGATTATTGTCGACACGATGAACTACAATAAAAACGACTTCATGATGAAAGAAAGGAAGGCTTTCATTGAAAAGATGTAAGGAAACAAAATGAGAGAAACTGTGAGAAAGATACAGGGGGACCAGAGGAATGGTGGGGAGGGTGGAAGGAAATGCAATATAAAGCAAGACATGCCTGCTGTGAGTCTTCAGAGCTGAGTCACTGTAAGCCTGCAGACATCAGCTGTAGGGCTTTGTGTGAAGACATATATAATCACTGCCTTATTTCACGATGAGTGTAATACAAACTATATTTCCTGTCTGCACTAAGGTTTTTAAAACAATAGCCTGCCATTCAACAAGTTAAATGTGCAGCCGTTTATGTCATTAATATTTCAAAAAGGCACTTACGTATGAAACAGTAAATACTACTGTATACTATAAGCATTTGCATTGTAGAGAAGCAAAAATGCTGTCTGGGATTAGTTCAACATTTTTGGGGGATTTGCTTGTTCACTGTCTTGCCGACAGTTAGATGAAAAGATACATATTTACCGCCCAGACATGAGGACCATCAATTTCTCATTACCACTCGTCAAGATTTCCGTTTATTTCTTCCTCATTATTTCTTACAATAATGGTTTTTGAAATTGGACTACTGTTAAATTAAGTGTCATGACATTTCTGCAAACATTTAATTAATTATTTTAACAGGAAATGGCTATTTTCTAAGCCAGAGATACAAACACATTTGGTTGTTCCCTAGATGACATAAATAGGTTATAAAATAAAATTCTCACTAGGTCTCTTTAAAAACACATTTATCAAGATGCACTCTTTGCAGAACAGATGACAAGTGATATTTCATATTTCCATGGATATTATATCTTGCAGATAGAAAAAGTGTCCCTCTGACTGTATTATATCAACAGGAAGGCTGACAGTGCCACTGGCAAGAACAGAAGTGGGTTAATTTGGTACTAAATGGTTCACCCCATTGTGAGTGTAGTACTGACTATCTCTAGAGAGAGAGAGAATATGAGGCACAGTGAGAGACATAGAGAGGAGGAATGTAGTCAGCATTTATCTAAATTACTCCATTAAAACGTATGACTGGATAATTAACCAATACAATTACAAATTTGGGAATATATCAAACCAGCTTCTCCAGTTCCTCTGGAGCAGGGCTGACAAACTCAATTTCATCACGGTCCACATTAGCATTATGGTTGCACTTAAAGGGCCTGTTGTAACTTTAAGACTATATAAATATACATATATAAAATGATGTAATATATTACATTATTTCCTCTGCATTGGATTATTATCGGATAGGGTAATAACTTCATAATTAACTACGTCTGAAAGCAGAAGTCTAGGGCAAATAATTGACAATAATTGCAAGTCTCTTCAATGTGCATGTCACAAAATGAGATGCATTGTGGGACATGTAGTTTATGGGCAACAGGCATCTGTACAGCGGTATGTAACCGTATAATAAACATTATATTCTTTCAGAGCTCTTGCAGGCCACATACAATGAGGTTGTGGGCTGGATTTACCCGCAGGCCTTGAATTTGACACCCCTGCTCTGGAGGGATTTAAGCCTGTGCAGACCATTTACATGCCCAAAATACTATACAACACACTACAGGCAAGAGATAACCCAAAGAAGCATAATAGGGCCCCTTTAAAGAGATAAGAAGCGTCGTCTCCATCACGGAAAAATCATATATTGTGCAGCATTTCTGCACCACCGTGGCCATAGAGCCTGACACTGGACTAGACTACCATCCTCTCTGCTACTGCTGGTTCTCACCCACTGCTCCACTGTGATTACAAGAGGCAGTGTGAGAGACGGTGTTTATTTTCAATGTGTCAGGGCCTTGGACCGAGACAGAGACTGATGAAAATAGATGAGCTGTATGAGCATTTTATCTTTATTTTCTCTCATTTGGGTCAATACTCACCTTCAGGTTAATGTGGACGGATTTTGATTTCCCAAACTAATTACCAGAACAGGACGTTCTTACATCTTTGTTACTGGCAGAATTGCACAAATGGAAAAGTCATGCGTCCAGCCATGCATGTGCAGCAAGAAAAAAAAGAAGTAGAGTCACAGGCCATCTGGCTCTCTGATAGAGAGGACACAAAGTATCTCATCCTTTCTTTCATCTGTGTCATCCATCCCTCTGCCTTTCTTCTTCTGGCCTGTGTAGTGTACTGTGAGTAACAACAATAACAGCAACGGTTTTGATATCATTATACATTTTATTTATTTATTATTTGAATCCAATCTTTTGAGATTCAACCTCTAAATCCGGAGAACTGAAACTCATTGCAGTGACATTTGTTTCTAAAGCACAACTAGCAACTAACTAACCACAACATTATTTAACCAGGGATTTAAATTAAATTAAATACTCTTTAATAGGAAAATCATAACAACTGCTAATTTTGCATAAATAGTTACATTGTTATAATGTAGAAAATACTGCTTTGATTCATTTTGATATCTTACCTTGCAGTATGAATTAGTACAGGAAACTACAAAAAACATACGAATATTTAAGAATCATAACTAAAATGGTGTATTAATTATTTCAAGCCAGAAATTGCTACAATTATTTCATATTATTTTATTATCATTTTGAAATGTAATTTTGATGTTGATTTTTGTTTTAAATAATTATTGTGAATACATGAAGTTAGCTAACACATTTATAATCAATAAACTGTCATGAAAAGCTATTTACATATTGTAGGGAAGGCAAGTTAAAAGGTGCTTTCAATACATTTTAACTTAAAAAGAAAAATGATTTACAGACAATAAAGAGAGAGAATCTCTTTGGCGTCACCTTGGCAGATGCAAAACATCAGTACTCTAATCTGTGCTACTCAAATGCTCAGAATTAAACATCTTACAACAAAAACATTGAAGAAAAATCATGCAAAAATGATCAGTCCTACATTCTGTGCTGCTGGTTTGCGGTCTATGCAGCTCTAAATCTCTCAGGATATCAGGTATGCCTTGCTAGTTCACATCAGATCATAGCTCGGCTGCCTATTGGGACCCGGCTTCCTGCATGGGGGAGATAATAGGAAGTGCTCTGACAAAGCCCCGGGTCTGTACTTGTTCTTACCTTCATTCACCACCTGCCTCCCTCGTTCTGTCTGCCTCCCCCCACACAGAACCAGGACATGGCACTGTGAGAGCATGGCTTGTCCTCAATACCGAGACACAAATACACACTCTGTGACAACCACACTCTTGTAGACTTTGTTGTTTATCCAAGGTGTTCTCTGCTTGTTTGTATTGCTTATTAGCACTAGGATATTTGGTGTACATATTTATGCAGCAACTGATTTCCATCTGCTTTTCTTTATCTCCCCAGTACAAACAAGTGGAGCAATACATGTCCTTCCACAAGCTTCCAGCAGACATGCGGCAGAAAATCCACGACTACTATGAGCATCGCTACCAAGGCAAAATCTTTGATGAGGACAACATCCTGAGTGAACTCAACGACCCTCTGAAGGAGGTGAGACATCTTCTCTCTTAAGACCCCAAACTGAATGGATTCATTAGTTTTCTTCCTTAGCAACATGCTTTTAAGAGTGGCCATTTGATGGCTTTATTTTTGGAACACACACTTCAAAATTCAAATAATAAAACACAATCTTGACAGGTGAGCTGTCACAGTGGTTTCTGTTTAGCAACATGAATGAGTTTATTCCCTGAAGATGAAGAGTACATTTTCATTTGGAGATGAAACTGAAATACCTGTCATCTCATTTTACAAGGTCAAAGGAGGAAAAAAAGAAGCAAAACAGATTTTCCTAAGCATCCTGGGTGAACCCACACTGAGCATTTGTCAACATGATGAAAAAAATCTGCATAGAAACATTACCTAGATACACAGCTTGAATTAACTGAGGATATTATTCACAAAAAAGCAGCCATTAGAAAGAATGGTGCTCTTTATTACAGAGTCTGTGTTAAGTTTTAAGTTTCTGTCTGACCTCCTCGTATCAGCAGATTACACGGGTAATTACACAGAGGCATATGGGAGAGGAGAAGACTAAAAACCAAAGCAAGCGTAGGAGTCGTGACCATCTTTTATGTAGCCCCATTAAAGTCAGAGCGTAGTAGTGTGGAGAGCTGCTGCACGACCCCAGACACTCACAGGGAGGTGCAGGGATTTAAAGGTATGACTCTCTAGACCAAAACGTCCACAGTGCATAGCAGACGAAACCTGCCTAGAGACAGTATCACACAATTAAAAGTTATGCTTATGACACAGACAAGGAAAATCGAACTGATTAAAAACAGAGCAAATAAACTAGTTTACATTATGATGCAGGTGACAGTAAGGATACAGAGGATACACATACAACTTTATAGAGTGAGCATTTTTTATATTGTGCAAAGTTTTATATTTTTTCAAGAAACCCAATTCAAAACAAAATGATAGAGGCACTTGAAGAGTGGACTCAGTTACCAAGGCAGTTAGGACTAATAATGTGTGTATATATCAACCACGTGATTTGTGTTTGTATTTATTTATTTAAGAAAGGACAATGCACATTCATTAACATGAGCACTTGAGTCCATCATGTAAACATGCCAGATTTAGCCATTGAGGCTAATTTCCATCTGCAGGTTGATGTCATTAAAATAAAACACATGTGAGCAAAAATAAGCACAGAAAGACATGATTTGGATCCTCTCTAAAATGAAATGGTTTATTCTTGGCCCAGTCAAAACAGTTCCACTGAGTTTCTTGAAAATTGGACCAGTCGTTTTTCTGTAATCCTGCTGACAAACAGTCAAACTCCTTGGCGGAGGTAATCAAAAGCGGCTTACAACAAGTGTGGCTTAGAGCATGTCAGAACAGTGAGTGAAACAAAGAAAGGAAAACACTCAATTACTTAATTTTGCAAACACCCTGTGTTACAGCCAGGCTTCACCTTGATCACTTTATTCTCTACCTACACACCTCCCTTCACCTCTTGCTCTCTTCTCATCCTTTTGAAAGGAAGTTGAGTAATGCCAACCTTCAAGAGAGTGCCAATGCCACCTTTCATAATGAGCTTGTTTTTGCCAAGTCCTATTTAAATCATATTACTCTAAAAGCCGTTGTACACTTTACAAACAGTAACAAATTATAGCTTACTCTGTTAGATGCATCTTAATTTGTCAGTGCTGCACCTCTCTGTTTTGCAGGGCTCTACCCACTTAGCCTCTGTAGTAAAGTGGCTAAAAGGAAAGGAGCAGTTATGTTTGTTTTTCAGTCTCTGCATCCCTTTTCTGGATCCCAGTCCCCAACCATTTAGCAGCTAGAAATCAATCAATGCAGCTCAGTGCCAGGCCCTTTCCAGGTAGACCCACTGGGGTTAGGGTTAGGGGCTTGCTGAGTCGGGCTGATTGCCGGCACCATTTTGGGGGAGCTGACTTATGGGTCAATTTGGGATTAGAATCATCTCCACTTACCAGCACTCAGACTCGCTTTGGACCAAAAAGGAGGGCCCATGAAATCAACCTGAGTGTACTTTAACTGATTCTGGCATGTCATTTATCACACGTCCTGCACGAGGAAACCAGGTGCGCAGGATTGAGACTGCTCGAGCAATTATGAGTACCTGATATTCCTGTGACAACTCTGCTTCAGTGGATAAAACCGCTCTGGGTTTGGTGTGTAGGTCACAGGTAATGAGTCATCAGTGAATCATGCTGGTCTAACGCTATGGACAAGGGTAGGAATAATTTAGAATGTGTCTGCTGAGACGTGAGTCTTAACATGAGTGGGGTTCTTTTATTATATATTTAGGTCCATTACCGTACCTATAAATTCCTTCCAAGAACACTTTACTTGTTGTATTCGTTTGGTAATGAAAATCAATTCACACTTGTTTGCCCCAGGTTATCCATCACATTGAGCAGTTGGTTGCTTTGCTGCAGCTGTGAGCTGAAACCACTTAGAAAAGTCTCCTTGGTGTTGCATTCAAGGTCGCTCCTGCATCCAATAAGTGATTGTTTGCTGCCAAAAAGCGTTTAATTGATAGTCTCTAGTATCGAATAATCTGGTCAACAGTGACGCACCAGCAGACAAAAACTCAAAGAAAAGGAAATAAAGATGTCTTTGCATTAAATGGTTTGCAATTCAATCGCTATTTCTCAGATATTAATGTCCATTTCTGCAGGAAAAAGGTCCTGCTCACAACTGTATTACCACAAAACGTTATAATTTTCTGCTAGAGCATTATCAGAGTAACAAAACAAATTTAATAAAATCATGTTTATACTGTAGTGTTAAACCATCTGAAAATAAGTGCAGTTTTTCATCAAAGACTGTAATATAATATAACAGGCTAACTGTTTTGCTGTTCTCCCCACCTTCGCTGCTTTTCTTTTCCAGTGTCTCACTTTCTTTTATTCTCTGCCATATGACACATCTTTAAATAGGCATAACCAAATATTGTTTCCCCAAGAGGACTCCTGGTTAGGCATGAAAATTGCTTACAATCTAATTCATTAGTTCTGGTGCATGATTGAGGTCAGAGCCCCCTGGCATTAGCCGACACCGGCATCTGAGGCTGAGCTAACATCTCTTTTGCGAACGTCCCAGAGATTGGTTATCCCTCTGTTAGTGTCCTGTTGTCACTGGAGGAGAGCTATCCCTCATGGGGGGTCAACCAACACACCAACGCATATGCCAAGTGCCCCGACTTTCCATCTGCACAGCAACAGAGATGTGTGGGTAAACAGACAACAAGCTCCTAATCTCCTGCTGGGTCCGAGGGGACAGGATGAGACCGGAGAGATGGCCTGCAGCCGACACCAGAGGGCAAACTCATCAGGATATCTCACGCGTGCCAAAAAGTTTCTTCTCAAGAGGGATGGGGAGTGCTTTTGGAGTATTAGGGATAAAGCAGCAATATGCATCCAAATTATGCCGGCAGAGATGAAGGATTTGTGCTGGGTTTTTGTATAAGACTAACAAGTTGTACGAGGAATCTATTGAAATATATTTCTTTGTTTTTTTCTCCTCCAGGAAATTGTTAACTTTAACTGCCGTAAGCTCGTGGCCACCATGCCTTTGTTTGCCAACGCGGACCCCAACTTCGTGACGGGGATGCTGAGCAAGTTAAAGTTCGAAGTCTTTCAACCAAACGACTACATCATCCGGGAAGGCACGGTGGGGAAGAAGATGTACTTCATTCAACATGGTGTTGCGAGTGTCATCACCAAGTTCAGCAAGGAGATGAAGCTGACGGATGGATCCTACTTTGGAGGTCAGATCAAAAACTTAACAATTTGGAATTACATTTGAATTATTTATTTTTCACAGATTTCCACATGAAAATGCAAATATGAATTATATATGTGGGTCCTGCCATGCAAGAGCGCCATACTTACACAGTCACGCATGCATTCCCACAGTGTACGGTTATATATTGAGACACGAGTCTAGCCTGAGGTCTTGCGTTTGATGCTGTTCGAAGTTCACTTATTGTAGATGTAGATTCTCATTAACCAGTGTTGGACGTTAGTCAGCTTCTGCCGTTACGTAACCACTCATCTGGTCGATGGAATAGGCCAAGGCGTGGATCAGGCATCCCTTTAGGACATACAGAAGATCCTCCCCCATCCTCACACACAAACACACACACACTACCAAACACACACACATGCACATGGATGAACTCTTCTACCCCTCCTTAGGTTCCTGCTGCGTACACTTGGCACTGAAAAGAGCAGCCAGTCGTTTCCTTTGTGTTAAACTCAGCAGCTATTCCCTCGTTCTGTTCTCCTTTCTCTTTCTCTGGGTGCCACTCCCATTTGCTCTCAAAAACATCACAGATATCATAAAATGTTTTATTTCAAATAATGTAATCGCATTGCACGTTGTTTACTCAGACACGACAATGTCTGCCTGCAGGTTTTGTCAATGTGAAAGCAAAGCAAAGTTTCCTATTTTAGAGGTTCTTGCATATTTTATCTCTTGAGTTCATTCCCACTATGGAAAGAGGCTGAGGAGTCTAAGAATACCTTCGCTTTGGTGTGTCTTGCTCCATTCAGTTCATGTCTCACAGGCGAGCTAAGGAAGGCAGTGAGTCAAGAAAAAAATCAGTCGTCCTTTTTTCTGCTTGTTCAAATTGCTGTCATGCTACTAAGTGTAGAAAGCTACTTGCTTTAAATATGAGGTTGCCGGGGGAGTGGGTGCTTTTTGAATTCTACATGAAGTGGACATGTCATATGGGAAGATATGTGGCAGTGTTGTTCAAACAATTAATCCTCTGGGGCTGCAGCTCAAGAGATATCCTGCTAAAGAATCATGGTGGCACAGAACAAGTAGATCTTGTTTAAGAAACTAAGCTGAGATGTCAGGAAAAAACCTTCGGCCTAAAAGGCTCTGACAAATAGATCCTAATGGCAGTGAGTGTGAACGCATTTATCAAACAGTTCAGACACAAAGAAAAGAAACCACAGCAGTGTAATGGCCTATTCAGAACAGTGGTAGGCAAAGCTATATTTTGATAGTTAGATGCTTGTAATCAACAGTAACTGTTCAAGATCTATGGTATAACAACTATACTGTTTGTGACAATGAAAACGTATTTGGACCAAGCACATACAAAAATATCAAATGTTTTAGGAAGCGAAATCTTTTAACATTGTATATCAAATGGTGGCTCTTAAGCAGCTATAATGAAAAGCTTTTGAATCTTGTGTAGCATTTCCCATCAAAAGAGCCAGATATGTCCTTTAGAAGCTGGAGGAGACCACAAACAGAGCTAAAAGAGAATGTTTGGATTTACATTAACTAGGTGGCCTTTACAATTTCAGAATAATGATAATGTTCATCCGTGTGCACTGAATGTTCAAAGGAGCAACTGCTGTTTGCCATAGCAACTTGAGAAATAATGATATTTCAATCTTCTGCTTCACCAACGTGGCAAAACATAATCCAGTTTAAAGACTGCAATAAAGCTCTAACCAAACATTCTTTTTACGGTACATTAATACGCTGATTATTTTCTCAGTTAACCGAGAAACCTTTTTAAAAAGCTCAAACCCCCACACATTTATTTTAGTTTACCATATAAACCAAAAAGCAGCAAATCCTCACACTTTTGACGCTAGAAACAAAGAACAATGTAAGTTGTCAAAAGATTTTCTGTCAATCAAATTATTGATTCAGTGAGTAATCATTTCAGATCTCATCCTCAGTATAAAGTTAGAAATGAACAATTACCTGGCCTCCTATAGGACTTATTGTGCTGGACTGTTCACCAACAGGAGTCCCAACCAACTGCTCCAATGAAGATGAACCTCTTCAGACCAAATTGATAAATCCAGGAAACGTGTTGAGGCAGCTTTACTGTTTGCTTTATCTAAAACAGTTTGAAGGTTATTCTGTACCACACAAATATTAGGTTTAGTTTGTTGTATTTGATTCATTCATTTGATTAATTCTGTGCAGAGATGTACATATACCAGCCCAGTAAGCTATCTGACAGTTCGCAGTATAAGATTATTATCTGTAATATGTTCAATAACAAGGGAATAACATACAGATAAAACAGTGAACATATATTAGTTGTTCTCATTTCATCTTCTAATTAAAGGACTTGTGTTATATCCGCCCAAATAATAAAGGTTGCACTGTTCATATCGCTGTGTCTGTGCCGGGCCACCTGCTGTTGCCTTCTGCCCAGCTGGTCTTCTTACCCGTTTGCACAGCATTAGTAGATGAGTTGGGAGCAGCTGGCTGTACCAGGCATCTCACTCTTGCCCCTTTTTCCCGATGATTCACACTCCCCTTACAACCAGGCCAAACCGTGGCCAGAATGAGAAATCGGTGCGGGGGACTGAGACAGACACAGAGGGAAGCAGAGCAACAAAACGGAGCCCAGCCACATGAAACTATTAGCATAGTGATGAGCAGGACATCTATGAGGACAGTAGGTCACACTGCGCCTTCAGAAACGGTAAATGCCGCACCTGCATGCTGTTAAGGTATCATAGTAGTCTGGTATTACATATTGGTGCCATAGCTCTGTAGTGAAGTCACTGTGAGGCTAAGGGACTAATCGAGTGTAATGCTAAGATAATGACATACAGAGCATGGATATCCCCATTGGGCTTGAATGCCTCAGTCACCCGGGACTCTGAGTCTCTCCTCAGTCACAACCATGTAAGGAGTAAGGGAGCAGTTGCCATGAGAGTATGTGACACAGGAAGTGATAGCAAGTTTCCATAAATGCTCCTGGGGTCAAGTGTGATGCTTTGTGGCTATGGCAACAGACACGTGTCAATTGAATCTCTTGAAGTGTTAACATGGCCTTGCCTTATACACACGCACACACAAATGAACACATGCACAATTATGGACACACAAAAAGGCTTTTTAGATGAAATTGCTAATGTTCAGTGGCTGAAAAAGTAGTAATACCTTATGCATTGATGTATTCATCACTTTAATGCTGCAGATGTTATACTATATACTGCCAGGAAGCTTGTTGGTTTCACCAAGAAATCAATAAAGTGTATCTACCTTTCATAATATGTTTTAAAGTATTTGTTGTATTATTATTGTATTATTATCTCAATCTTAATCTTCAAATTAAATAAAGCTGTCAGATAACAGAAAGGCATTTAAAAGTACAATATTTGAATATCAGTAGCAGTAAAGTAGAAGTATTAAGTAGCAGGAAATAGAAGTAAAAGTCCCTCCAAATTATACCTGAGAACACTAGTTGAGATAATGTACTAACTGTCTACCACTCTTTTTCATATGGAATAGTGTTGAGTAAAATAAGTAATTTAACATGGTTTAGTAACATTGAGTTCTTGACTACTTGAATTAGGTCCCTCCTAATTCCTAAATAATAGACATAGCCCACACATATGGATATTTACATTTTTAGAGAAAGCAGAAGTATAGCTTCCCATTTTGCTGTGATAAATGTGTATATCAGAATCAGAATCAGAATACCTTTATTAGTCCCACAGAGGGGAAATGTACTTTGTTACAGCAGAAAAAGAGCCAAAGACAGCTTAATAGTATAGTGTTAAAACGGTGAACATAAGTGGCTTACAAAAATATATGTCAGTTCGATGTCTCCCTTCATGTTCTCAAACAATCATTGACAACTGGAGCTCAGTCTAGACGGACAAAATGAATAAGTTCAGTTTAAAAAAAGGCTATCCCAAAAAAAGAAAGTGAGAAAAGAGATCATGTTTTTTTTTTGCTTGCTCCATTATTTTACAGCTGGTCCAATTCGGGTTGGGGATGAAGTGTGTTGGGTATCGGTTTAACAGCTTTGTAATGTGTGTACTACATTCAAGGCAATCTAATAGCAGTTTTCATCTTTGTTGCTTTATTAGTGACTCCTACTGGTAGTAAACTAAAACATCATGCATGTCTTACTAGAAACTCCCAATATATAATATTCCAAGAACTGATATATTTGGAAACACACTTATTTCCTTTCATGATGAGATTCTGATGAAAAGATTGATTCTCGTGTCTGTTGCTAGAGCTTTAAGGCAGCTTAGCTTAGCATTAAGACTGTAAGCAAGGGAAATGGGTTAAATAATCAGTCTAACAGCCCCTGTGAAGCTCATTAAGTACATGAAAAAAACACATTTACCTCTGATTGTAACTCACAGCACCATACAGCTTCGGATCAACCCTTCACTATCTGTCTTTGTGTTTGCCTCTTTTGTAAAACGACATATAACAAGACACATTTTTCTTTCCGTTTGTCATTTTTTCTCTGCTTTAACAGAGGTACAACTTAAGGGAGCTTTTTCATCATTACAGCACTAACACCTATTCACACCCACAGCTTGAGGCTGTTGCTCTCACACTCTGTGCTCTATTTTCATGACAGCTCATGGTGTGGCCAAGTCATCACGACAAGTTAACATTTAAGGATTTAATGAAGATGGGAATTGTGCTTTAGGTTCAACAGAAGTGCAAATGTGGGTGGAGGTTGAGTGGTGTTGGTGGTTGAACAGAAGCCAAAGGAAGATGATATTTAGAAGAAGGGTAGTGTTTTTCCACCTTATAAAGAGAAGAAAAAGTGTAGGATGAAAGAATGATGGGCGGATAGAAAGATATTTAGCCCTCTGCCTCGTATCACTGATTCATGAAAACACAGGGGAGATCAGGCGCAGTGAATGGCAGGCGTTAACACTTTATATCATCTACAGCAGTGCTTCTCAAACTTTTTTCAGTAATGTACCCCCTTTGAACATTTTCTCAGCCAAGTACCCCCTGACCGATCCCGAAAATGTTTGATCGAAAAAGCATATATAAATAATTACAATATAGTGATGTTCCCTCAGTGTGTGATGTATTAACTCCTTCGTGGTATGCATTACAACAAACTAAGGATATTTTCATTTTATGCATGAAAAAAAATAACATAACACTTTTATAAAACAGATCTTTCCAAGGAGTTTTTCAATTTAAGTAATATTTTATTGTGAAAAACTATAAAATACAATACACACATTTGACATGTTTATATGAGGAGCCCCTTGGTGGTTCTAGGAATGTTTTATATACAATTGTGTTTTCTATTTAACTTATTTTACTAAGATTATTTTTTTAATTAACCTTTTTTTAAATGTGTTTAAGTCTCACGTACCCCCTGCAGTACCCCAACGTACCCCCAGGGGTCCACGTACCCCCATTTGAGAATCACTGATCTACAGCAACACATTATTGACTGTGCACTAAACTAGATGCTCAAGTGAGGATATTCAGATTGGTCTGCATGTCTATAAAAGCAGCTAAAAGTCGTGATAATACTAAGATAAGGTTTCATTATCAGATGTTTTATGAAATCATCTTATTGTATCGTAGAAACTGGGTTTTAGTCTATTTTTTTGTAGTTTAGGTCATTAAAATTCATTAAAAATCACTTTCTTAATCAACAGCATAACCTTTTAAAGTCACCATGAGCCATCTAATCATCCTATTAATCTTGTAAAGATTTGTTAGCACTTAGTTTCACTAAAAGGCCAAATTAAAATGTATTCCATTACAACCCTTTGGAGGGGTCCATACCCTAAAGTGGGAAGCACTCTGCTAATCAATGTAATTAGTTAACAATTTGCTTCATCTAGACTAGCAACAACTTTAAACATATACATATGCTGATATAGAGGTCCCAGAAGGAGTATAATTTCAAGTCAATTAGTACATTTTCCTGTTGATATTTTCCTATCCGTCATTTGTAATCTCAAGTGTTTATCTTACATTTGATTTTAGAGGAAATGTAGCTAACACCAACAGGAAATAAGATTAATGCCATGTTATAATCTGATGCCAAGGGTCAAGTGTTTTGATGAATGTGTTCACTTTACATCTTTGAGAAACAGTGGCTGATCAGGCATACAGGAATGCTGCGTAAACATACCTCTGCTTAGTTATCCATTACATTTCTTTTTTGTATAGCTGACTACTGTATCACATTATGGGACCATTAGCTCTCTGCAGGATGATGAATTATCTCAGTATAATGCAAGTGACAGCCACGCTGATGGGCTTCTCGTTTTATTTACATTCGCATTAGCCTCTGCTTCTGTACCTTTTGTAGTAGAGGTTCATCTGTAAGGTAATCTGTATTGCAATTACTGGGGTGATTTCCTTAATGTCCTTCTGCACTCTCCACTTCAGTTGGTGCTTCTTTATGTGTCAAATGTTTTATGCTCTCACTCTTTGTCCTCCTTTGTCTCCCTGTGTTTTCCGCCTTGCAGAGATCTGTCTGCTCACCAAGGGCAGACGAACAGCGAGTGTGCGTGCAGACACCTACTGCCGACTCTTCTCCCTCTCTGTTGATCATTTCAATGAGGTGCTTGAAGAGTACCCCATGATGCGACGCGCTTTCGAAACTGTCGCCATTGACCGTTTGGACCGCATTGGTAAGAACTGCCTACATCTAACCTATGTCCTGTCTGACTGGTCGAATCTCCTGCCTGTCATCGTGCCTTGTTGTCTTGTCTTTATCAGTATTTGTTTGCCTTCTTTCTTCATAAAAGCATTGTCTGCCATCTTGTGCTGCATGACCTGTATGCACTGTTTGTTTTTTTGTTGATTTTCTTTTTACTTCCGTCTTTCTTTGTATTAAATAACCTTAAAGATAAAATTGTTGGAACCAGCATTAATCCTTCTAAAGAACCAAAGTAGCGTTTTGTGGTTGGATTATCTGGAAGGCAGTGCATGTCGCTGTCCGGGAGGGAGTCAGTTCGCCCCCTCGTTGGTTTGGTGTTGACCCCCCCACTGGATGTCAGCGAGTGGATGGAAGCTAACCTCACATGCATGTGTGTCTGGCCCTCTTTCCACTCATCTGCACTCCTGGGTATGAGCTAACCCAGTCTCAACGCATTTCTTGTTATAGTCACAAAATGAATTTAATCTATTGATTTTGTGTCACACAGAACGATTTTAAAAGCAATGTATTTGTATTGGTAGTATGTTTTGTGCCTGCACAACGTATTTTTGTCCGGTCGGGTCTTGGAAGACCGGAAGCTGTGTGGCTCATAAAAACATTTTCTTACTCAATATCTTACCCTAAGCCTAACCCTATTCCTTTTATTTTAAATTGTGTAATGTCGGAGTTTTTTTGCCGTCCGTGAGGAAAATAAATGGGGCAAAGAGCCTCAGAATACTGAAATCTGTATTTTTTGTCATCTTTTTTTCCTTCTAATTTGTTAATATTTGGTGCAGGCACGAAACATACTACCAATAGAAATACATTGCTTCTAAAATTGTTCTGTGTCAGAATACTGAAATCTGTATATTTTTAAATCTGTTTTTCCTTCTAATTTGTTATTATTTACATTTACATCGTTCTATGTGACACGAAAAAAATTGCCAAATTGTGTTGATGAACACGAATCAATAGATTAATTTCGTGACTTTAACACGAAATGCCGTGAGACTGTGTTGTATGAGCAGCACCCCACCCAATATCAGAGTTCTCAAAATCAACCAGAAAAAAAGAAACAAAGAGCAGGGCCAGGTGACACCAGGAAGCTGTTTCAGGCATGAATGCTGTGTCTCAATTCACATACATAAGTACATCACGTACTTACACTTGCTATTTTGAGTGTGTAACTGCGTTCACACTGTTAAGTATGGCAAAATGCAATGCACTGAAAGTACGGTCAAAAAGTTAAGAGCCGAACACTGAACACTGAACACCCCCAACAATTGCCATCTTGGCTCTGTAACAAAAAGCTCCAGTGAACACAACACTGTATAAATACAAGTAATACATTGGGGGGTTTTGGGGGGTCTTTTCATAAACATAAAACTACTCTGTTCTGAATGATTTGGTACCGCATATGCTAACATTGCTGTTAGTTAGTTAGCTAGCTAGCTAACGGCTAAGAGCAGTGGAAGTAGCTAGCTAGCTAACAGCAGCAGCACTAGCTAGCTAGCTAACAGAGGTGGAGCTAGCTAGCAAGTCAACAGTGGCGGAAGGGCACAGCAGCTGTGTGCGATTTGGGACAAGCTACTCAGTTGTAATTCACACACTGACCAATTGTTCACAGTGTACAACGTGGTTGTGTACTAAGGGAAATACCGAATTGAGAAACAGCATAGCTCTGTGGTCCAGCCAAAAGGCAGGACCCTGTTTAGTTTTATTCAGCTCCTCAACAACCTTCCTTATTTTTAACGTCTGATTCAAAGAAGAACCCTGGCCATGTGAGATTGTAGTTGAAATACAATAATATATAATGGTTCAGAAAGATATATTTGTAACAGGTAAAAAGGGGCACATGTATGTAATACAAACAGGGCAATAATTGTTTTCCACATTCTCCCACCCATTCAAATGTGTTCAGTCTGCTCTAATAGCCTACTTTGATTGGAAATAAAACTAATTAATTAATATATTAAAAATTATAATTTGAAAGTGTTGTGCAGCAGGATAGTTTCTTGACTGACGGAAGTAGAACATATGTCTTTGGTTTTGCTTTTATTTTTGCTGCATTAGAAATACAATAGGTTTTCTTTTGTAATGATAATTTTCTCCTTTTTTACTTGTTATACATAAATTACTTGATAGTAATAGTACCTTTTAGTGTCAAGCAACAAGAAGGATTTAGCTAGTATATGTTCAGTGTATATTGAGGATTATTTTCATCATGTGTTTATATCTTAGATACTACTGAATGTATCTTAAGATCTGGTACCCATCCCTTTTTATAAGACAACAAAATGACAATTTGTAGGTACAGATTAAAGGGCTCAGTTATGTATGGACAAGTGTGAACAGCACATGTTTACTTTTTACAGTATAATATTGTTTTCTTTGTAGCTCAGCTACTATACGATGTCAGTAAGGCACTACAGCAGGATCTTAAGCTTACGCCTTACCACTGCAACTTATGTGGCAGTCGTAATGTTGGTGTGTAATATTCTGACAACATTATACAAGTTTGAATAGTGTTTTCCTCCTTAGAGAATAAGCACAAACAGAATTTAGCAAAAGGATGCTCACCAACTAAATTAGCTATTAAGGCGACCGGTTACTGGTGATTACAAAATTACATTTTTATTGTTTTGTTTTGGCTCCTTACTCCTTTGTAACACAGAAAACGAAAAATGTACAGTGACTTTTACAGCTAATTAATTATTTATTGTGCAGGAAGAAATCGAGCAGCCTATCATCATAAATGATCAAACAACCATCAAACGTATAAGCCTGTTGACAACGCGAGAGGCCATAATGTTTGGTGATTTGTTTCCCTATTTATTAACGGGAAAAATAATATCACTTGAATGCAAAACTGAAGTTAAATTTGCATAATAACAATGTGCCAATGTTGTCTGATATCAGTGGTTAAGCTTGCAGTCTGTATCTACTTTTCTATCTGTTATCGTTGTTTTTATTTGTCATGGCTTTGTATTTGTGTATTATTTCGCCTGACACAGGCACATCAATATTGAATTGCTTTGCAACCCAAGTGTTGACTCAACATTGAAATACTGTAGTGTCAGGCAAGTCAGCAACAAGCAATGACCAATAGATTTGGAACAAGACCGCTCAGAGCCAATCAGAATTCAATGTCAATGTTGAGGCAACCTTTTCTCCTCAGAATTACGTTCAATATTTATTTTTTGTGGGGGGGACATAATGGTGGCTGGATGACTGGGCTATATCACAATATCTGACATATCTGCTAAATATCCTCACCAAAATCCATACAAACCATGTCTTCTAAATGTATATGGGATAAAATAATATAATCATGATCCCATAGCCATCCAAGAAATAAGTTAAACTGAGCAGGTAAACTAATCGGGAGTGTGAGGGGGGACGACTTTTTCCAAATGTTGTATGACGGAAGGCCCACATTTTCAGACTTTGAAAACATTTTGGTTTGTACTAAACAGATAAACACAATGAAATATGCTCATGACTTATGCACTAATTAATAGTCATTATGGCAAATACAACTACTCTAGGGAAAAACTGTGGTCAGTGTTTAAATTCAACAAATGACAATACTGTTTTTGTTGTTTAAGATGCAACAAAAACCCATAGGTCTGTCCTTGACTAAAATAATTATTAGTCAACAAACGTTTGGTCCAATAATCAATGAGTTTATTTTGTTGATAGGTATTTTTTATTTCTCCAAAAAAAGTCTTGCAAAAGCAACACTTTAAATCTTGTGTGAACGAGAGATGTGATCATACGTTTTTGAGTAAATCATTAAGTATAAAAACAAAATGTAAACACACTAATTGACTGAAGAATTATTATTCATCTTAGACCATAAATTAATGACCTTTTCATCTGAGGGGCAGCCCTGCACAACTCCATCTCTAGCTTTCGCCTTTTATCCAGCCAAATGTCCACACACTCACTTTCCCCTGTGATAGACGAATCCCCCCCCCCCCCTTTTTGCGTTATAACTGAACGCTAATTGTCAAGTATCTGCCCTTGAACATAATTCACAGGAGACAAGGTTGCATTTTCTTGGAGTAGCATAAATCAAATACAAATCTTCACTTGCCCTAACATAATGTTTGCCGTTTGGCCTCAACAGTCCAAATCTACATTTGCCCTTTTTATGAGATCTACCAGCTGATTCATTCGATCCATCCTCAGACTAACCATGAAGGGGGTTTTGTCTCATACGAGGGAAGATACTCTGTCATGATCCGTGCTGGTTGTATCTTTTCTATATATGAACTGCATTTGGTTACATGCTTGTCTTGCTCTAAAAAAGGAAAGAAGAAAAGTATCCATGCTTTGAAACCAATAACGTGTTGCACATTTGACATTATCTTCTATCTAAAAATTATTTGACCAGGAGTCCGTCTTGAGACGAGCACATCTCGTTTTCAAGAGTGTCCTGGCCGACGAGTAGGCATCAGGTAAACACTTTATTCCAATTCCAATATGCGAACAGGGACAAATTGACCTATAGAGGCTTGCTAAATGGATTCGGTCTCAAATTCATCCTCCAAGAGTTTGACCTCTTGCTAGAGCTTACATTAACTGTTTGATTCCTGCATCAGTGACACATAACTCAAGTCACCCACAACCAAGTCCTGCAGATGTTTTGATGGGCACACTCAAAATGTCAACGACAAAGACAATCAAAGAAACAAAAGTTATTCAGTGTCACATGCCATGTTGATTTTGTAAGAGGCTATTACAGAATAATTCACTGGATTTCGAACACACATGTTATTTAATCTTTGAACCCTTTGTTCAAAGTGTATTCACAAACTAAATCATGCCTTCAGATTAGTAAACACTTTACTAATGCAATGCCACACACCGTTTTTTTACATGCAGGAATCCCATGTCATCATTTATTCATGTTTTCACCAATTTAAAAAAAAAAGGTTTGTTTCTGATTGTCTGGCTTGAAATATGAGGGTTTTTTTGTGTGAAACAATTTGGTAGAAAAATTCTCTGACATTAATCAAAGACAGTCTTAAACTGCTTTAAGATACATAATGTCACGTTGATTACATGTGGAGGTCAGACGTTTATTTAATTAATTAGGAATCATTTTCTCACACACATTTTCACCAGTTATCCTCTCTAAATATATGTTCTTATGATAACCTTCAACAAGAAGAAACTGAAGGGAAAAAAACATGTCTTGCAGGGACTCAAAACAAAAACAATTGATAACAAATCTTTGGTGAAATTATATATCAAATTTCATTGCGAGTCAGAATAAAAAATGTGTCTCTGTAAGGCCTTGAATGCATCTCTAAATGTGTGTTTACTTATTATTTACCAAATACTTTATAAGTTATATGATGTTTGTGAACATTATGATGTTTGTCTTTTGATTGTTTGTTTGGTGTGTTAACTGGCTTTTAGATAGTTTCACAAAAGTTATGTTTTAAATGTCAGATATGGGTTAATTACAGTACTGTAATCATATTTGAAATCAAATTCATTTTAATATTGAACTAATCTTACTGTTACTATTGTGCCAGTTTATGAAATTACTAACACAATCCTGCAGTTGTCTGATTTGACCCATAGCTGATACATTTTATTTCTATTCAACACGATTTGTATGTAAAAATCAAACATTTATTTACCCATGAGTGGTGTTTACATTTTGTTAATGTTTTTGTTTGTTTGTTTTCATTTTGTTTTAGGTGATAATAGTTTATTCCCTTGATAATGTTTAAAAAAATGTCAATATATGGATCAGGAATGCTTAATCAGCAAACATGTTCAGAGCTGGTATTCAATCAGGAACAGTCCAGGATGTATGGAACATATAATATACAAATAGGATTTTAAAGTGTCAGTCTTTATTATTTACAGAGTTGCATATATATATATAAATGGATTGCCTAAAGCAGGCTAGTGTTTCTATAAGAACAAGGTGCCCAAACGGGCGTGTTATCGTAAGTGTGTCTGTGTGTGTGTGCGTGGGGGTATGACAGTTACTGTTATGTAGTTTAAGTAACACTAACATGTTTCCAGCCTGGTACTTGGTTAGTTTTCTTAGCTTATCGTGACTATGAATTTTTACAGTACATATACTCATTATACTCATGATTTTTTAAGTAGCGGTTTTTAAGAAAAATATGTAAAGTAAAACAATTTGCTTCCTAAAATAACTTAAATGTAAGTATGTATATATAGTTTTAAAAGTCAGTTTTTTTTACAAGTGTGTTTTTATCTTGTTATTTATCTTTTGCTTTAACAGATAAAGAAGAAAAAGACAATAAAATGTCAAAGATAGATTAGGAGAGAAATTAGAAGAGGCAGCTCTGATGAAATCTTAAGATATAGTTTCTAACCAGCAAACATTCAAATCCTCACAGGCTTCATTTGGAGAAATAATGTGTTGTCCTTCCAATCTACAGAGTGTTACCCTGTCACCTTTACAAATGCAATGAGAGCATTATTGTAAGTCAACAGTATAGTCTTATAGTGAGTATGTGGTGCTAGTTTTAGCTTGTTTTAGCTGTAGTGTGAGTTTTGGACAAAATATCTGCAAAACATAACATCAATCCTGTGTTAAAGCTGAATGCACGGCTTGTTGGCAGCCTTGAGGGGAGAAAGCCGTCCAGAAAATGCAGCTCAACTGTAAACCTGGCGCAGAAATCTCCTGCCCTCAAGGACGGGGCTTAATGATTGACTGAGGCTAAAGCCTTCAGCTCACTAAAAGTCAACTCTGTCTTCTTTACCGACGAGTAATGCTTCACAGCCTGTCGATACACAAGGTCAACAGTAATAACAGGAAACACATCCCTAAATATATTTAAACAGTCAGTGAAAGTAAATATGTTAAATAGATAACATTCTTTATGGTTATTGTAAATTGTGGAATTTTAAGACATATGTCATGCTAAACATTTTACCACAATTATGCTCGCAAACTCCCAAAACCACAGAAGTGGTCGATGTTTGAAGAAAGCATCTGTCAAGCTGTTATTATCACGCTCTGTAACAGGCGGGGAAAGATGTACAGCTCTCTGGGCCCAAATGCCCTTTATAGGTCAGATATAAACCACTTAAAAAACGATTTCTTCACAGTATTAGAGAAAACAAGTTCCAAAATAAAACAACACGTTGCATTTTGAACATTTTATTTATCATCAGACAATTCCATTTCAATGAAAAAACAGCATTATGTGGAGTAAAGATTAGTTTTTCATAAAGGTGTTTCATGTATAATTATATAACCAACCTGTGTGTTAGAGTAAGTCTTTGTTTTCTTGTTTTTATTGTCATATCTTTTTTACAAGGTTCTGTAATTGTCCTTGTGATGTGTTTTAGTAGACTTGTGTTTGTGATTTAAGTAAAATGTAGCTCTAAATATTCTTAGAGTTTAGACTTTTTCTAATAACTTCAAGTAAATCTGTCCAGTAACGTGATGTGTGGGTTCAACTCATCAGTATTCTTCTGTGTTCCATCGTCCACATTAGCACCTTCACTGTCTACCATGTCATACGTTAGTCATCTTTGTCTCCTTATGTGTCTCAAACCGTACATTTCCCATAGTCATTACCATTCAATGTCCTTCACAATTTATATTCAATATGATAAATATTAGTGGACATGAAAGGATGCAGCTTGTAAATACTAAATATAGTTGAATCAAGAGAATGAAGTTCATCTACTGAAGATGCAGTGACAAAACGTCTTCCTACAAAAACGTACAAGCTGCATCTTTATTATTATTGTCCTGTATCCTGCCCTTTTCCTGTGGTTAAGGGCAACCAAAGTTTGCCATTGCTTTCTGTGCTCACTTCTCTTGACTGCACCCATACAGGGAAGAAGAACTCCTTGCTGCTGCAGAAGTTCCAGAAGGATCTGAACGCCGGCGTCTTCAACACGCAGGAGAACGAGATACTGAAGCAGATAATCCGTCAGGACAGGGAGATGGTAATGATGGTGGACCGCAAGCAGTCAGTCACCGGGATGAACTTAACTCCAGTGTCAGGAAACTCCATCATTAACTCACCGGCTCAGCCTCCCTTCCCCACTGCCTTCGGCACCAATCAGTTTCAGCAGTCTTCTGTTCCCATGACCTTCAGTGCTTCAGCTATAGCCAATGCCTCTGCTGCCCGCATGCTGCCAGCCGCCGCTGCGGTGCAGGGGGTCTATCCGGCCCCCAGCATGTCCCACGGCAGCCTGAATTCCTCCTCCATGAACCCACAAGGAGCGATCATGTCGCCCTGCTCCTTCACGGCTGCCATGTGCAGTCCCTCCGTGCAGACCCCTCTGGCGGGCCGGAGCTTCCAGTATGGCTCTCGCACAGGCTCCCAGCTGTCGCTCCTCCAGCAGCCCATCGCTCAAGCGGCTCTATCCGCTCAGCTCGCCCAGCTCGCCCAGCAGCCCGCTGTGTCTCCTGCAGCCTCCTCCTCCTCCCAGCAGCCCTCGCCTCAGCAGCAGCAGCAGCAGGTCCCCTCGCCTCAGCGGGTGGACATCCACAAGAGCACACAGGCTCTGCAGTCGGGCAGCTTGAGTCGAGATGTGAGACATTTATCGGCCTCCCAACCATCACTGCCACATGACACGTCTCTCGGCCCCAGAGTGCACCCGGCCCCAGGAGACTCTCTGGCCTCCATCGCTCCTCCAGCGGCGGCGGCAGCAGCGATCCAGGGAATGAGTCTGCAGAGCGGCATCCGCACCACAGTGCCCCAGCGTGTCAATCTATTCCGGCAGATGTCGTCCGGAGCTCTGCCCCCGGTGCGCTCGGCGGCGGCGGCGGCAGCAGCTGCGGCGGCGGCGGCAGCTTCATCTTCTTCATCCTCGACCCAGCACAGGGAGTCCCCCGGATCTAGGAGAGATTCTGTCCTGAGCAGTACGGAGACTGAGCAAGACAAGATGCGTTTTGCATCAAATTTATGATCCCATTTTTTTCCCTTTTCATTTTTTAAACTTGTTTCAACTCATTTTTAAAGTGGAGATGTAACAAAAGAGATAAAGATGAGGGACTTCAGCATTTTTGTTTCTCTCCAGTTTTTCTTCTAAAATAGCCTCATAGAAATCCTGTACATACAAGCCCTTGTATTATATTTTAGACACATTGTCTCCCTAAACTTAAGAATGTATATTATACAGATACATCTCTTTTCTTTGACGCCATATATATATACATATGTATATATATACTGCTGTATGTATGGGTGTGTGAGAGTGTGCGAGCATGTGACCGCGTGTGTAAAATCCAACTAGAATATTTGGCAATGGCAATTTAAAAGCTGTAGTATAAACATGAGTCTTCCTTTCTGAGAAATATAAAGAATTATATACAATGTATGAAGTTTATTTCTTTCTTTTTGCTTTTTTTTTTTTTTTTAACTGGAATGCATTCTGACAATGAATATTTCCTCCTTTTTTTTTACCATTGAGGAAGAGAAAAATGATCTTCTCCTATTAAGCAGCTTTAGGCACCACTGTGGAATAATACATGCAAGCAACTCTGACAAATAATCTCAAAAAGCACACACTCGTGAAATGAATCTCGTATCAGTTTCCTGAACCCTCATTTCAGAAACCAACACAGAAACTGAAACTAAGTGTTATGTTGCTCTCGGCGACAGAATACCGTATGCTGGGCCACTATATCCCCACAGCGGCTCACATACAAACCATGACAGTGTTATGGGTCCAAAGGGAATAGATAATAGAAATGCTGCTTTCTTTGTTTATTTTCAAGGAGAATGGAGTGTGGAGACAGACGGATGGATGCTATTGTTTTTCTATTTCTAATTTCAGATGGCTGAGATGTTACGTAATGTTGCTTAAAAATTCTGTGTATATTTATAATATTTATAAACTAAAGATTATCACCATTATGCAATAGACTGTGACATAAAGATTACCTATATGTGTGCTGTAAATAGTTTTGTAGATCTAGTATTTACAGATACTGTGTGGTGCATTCTCTATCATAACAATGTCTTACTTCTATCAGGAACCTGGATATCATCTATACGCGAAAAAGGTTTAGTGACGAAATACATGATGTTCCATAAGAGATAAACGAACCTTAATGCAATAGCTAGCACTACTTGATGCTGAGGAACGCCTGATTGGAAGACATTTAAGAATCCCTCTCTATGTATACTATCCCTAGCCCTAGTGTAGTTTTTAATTTCACATCAGGTGAACATATACAATATAATACACAATTTGTTTTCAAAATCATCCTATTGAAAGTAAATGTGTCTTTTTGACTCGCCTCATTCCCTAAAAACTGCCCAGAATCGTTTTTTGTTCAAAGATGGAAATTAGGCTTTTTCTGTTTTTCTTTTTTTTAAAAAGCTGCTTCTTGAGTATAACTGTACTGTACGCTGTCACATCACAATTATTGTAGTTGAAGAGCCTGCCTCGACGTTTTCCAACTCATTTGTTTGAGGTTAAAGGCGTCATGTATGCAGTCGCTCAAGTGTGAAGAGGGGACATTTTCACGAGCGGTGTTTTTGCGTCGGAAAAAGAAATGCTGGTTTGCATTAAGGTTTCTGTCTCGTGTAAATCCATTTTGTGGGCTTAGGCACTCTAAACTGACCTAGACTGATGTCGAGGCAAAGGGAAGCAAGGTCAAGCCAGAATATTGTGCCTCAATCAAAAAAGGATAAAAGCTAAATTGGAGCATTTTAATCCTACAATAATAAAAGTAGTTGATTCAACTAAAATAAGCCAGCCGCGACGGCTTACAGGCCATTTCCCTGCAGATAGAGTGGATTGGCGAGCATGAGGCCTTTCCTGCAATCTTCATATAAAGCCAGTGACAGAAGTATTCTGCTGTCATGATGGATTTTCTTATTCCAGTCACAGTTTTCATGGCCCATCAGTTCAGAGTGACTAAGCCCTCTGAGATAGCGTTTTTTTAAAAGATTACAAGTCTTCGCTACAGATTGTGTCGATAGTGTACCAATACAGTCAACCCATCAATGTCATGAAAGCATGCACTTGTCACAAATACTTAAAAAAATGATACTATCTCAAAGATGTTGACGTTAAATGTAATGTTAGATTATGTTTTGTTCATTGTCTGTCTGCCTAGACGTTATCTGTGTGTGAACAGAAGCATTGACTTTTCACATGGACATTCTTAAGTATTTGTGCCTAAACTATAGCCATGTTCCATCCTTTTGTTTTGAGTGTGAGCTTGGTGCGTAAGGGGAGGGGGGGGCACTTCTGCACACTCATTCTTACTATACTCAATGTGTTCTATGTCTCAGTGTTTTTAGACAGGAAAGGAATAAGCAATGATGGCCAAATGTCTCAGTTTATCTAATTGGTATCTTTAATTGCAATGTGAACTTCTAGATGCAGGATTTTTTTTGTTTTACATTTTCGGTCAAGCTATATAGCATATTTAATGAGGTTATGTACAGTTAAAAAGAAAAAAAGTGCAATCTTTAGCAGTAATATCACGCTCGATGAGACATTGTACAAATTCGGAGCACCTTTATACATTTGTTTGTAGCTAGCCACTGATGTTTGGGTTGTATATTGATGTGTGGAAGGAAACTGGCCAAAGCGAAACATTCATTGTTATTGTTTTAAATTGCACTTTCTGATTTACTAGTAATAAATAAAAAGGTACAGATTACTTTGGCTAGGTTAGATGTTGAATGAGTAAGTAAGGGAGCAATATCCCAGAGAATTCGTGCTGCCCTGATCCTGAATGGGGTTCAAAATGAAGGGGGAAATGTTCTATATAAAACGAAGAGCGCTTAATCGTGAATATGCCATAGTGTATAGGAACTAGTTCAGTCAAGATGGATAGCAGCACTGTTGCTTTGTGCTGTTTTTGATACTTGCCTTTGGAGGGAGAGCTTCCCAACTATGTGCTTTTTTCACTATACCAATCACAATTAACATACTGGAATGGGCATTAATGGTGACACTAAAATAACGAGCTTACGTATTAGCAGTATAGAGACTCTCAACAAACCAGCACATATATTTGTATATTTCTTTTTGTTTGTTCTTTTGTTGGTTTGAGAAAAAAAAAAAAGAAGAGAGGACGAACCAAATGTTGATTTGGGTTTGATGACCACAGGTTTCATATGTTTACTGATGATGTGCGCAGTGGAGAGAGGGGCGGAGCTCTTTAAACCCCACTCACATGGTCATTGTTCAGCTCATTTATGTAATCCAAGGCTTAGAGGAAAATAACTATCAGTCGGTTACTTGATACGGAAGAAAGAAAGATAAATGTAAACTTTCTTACAACAATATGCAGACAAACAGTGTTTGTCAAAAAATCTTTTTGATTTTTTGTTTTGTTTATTTTGTTTGTAAATAATAAACCTTTAAAATATAGAAAATAAAAGACATATTGTCATTTAAAAAAAAAAAACGAGTATGTGTCTTTCTATTGTGGAGCAGTGAGGGGTCCATGGAGACCTCTTTTAGAATGTAATGGAGTGAGAAAATGGAGAAAGGGTTTCAGAGATGAAGCAGTGATGGAGAGGGTCATCGAGTATTTAGGAACAGTGTCTGTCAGCAGATACAGCCGAGGTGAAAAATCGCTCCATGTGGTCACCGGGGATTTCCATTCATTACCTTCAAATCCAGTTATCAGTCAACGTCGTCACAGCGAAGACGGATTCCTCTGCATGAATGTACTCAAAGATGGGACGGGTTACTCATCGCTAATGTGATCCTTTTATAGGAGAACTAGCTCTTATGAAAGATACATTGGTTTAGTTGCATTTCCAGCTGTAACAATGAGTCAATTATTGGAGCGACAGAAAACGATTCTGCAACTATATTAGAAATCATATTTCAATGATTTTACAGCTTCTCAAATATCTGTTGATTTTTTATGTTTTCTTGAGCTTTTTGGACAAAACAAGACATCTTCCAACGTCACCTTAACTCGAAAGTTACAACAGCCATTTCTTACTATTTTCTAACATTTAATAGACATAACGACTAGTTGATTAATTGAGAAAATAATCTTTAAATCAATTTTATAATGAAAGGAATTAATACTTTTTATTTCAGGGAGTTTAAAGCTTATAATGAATTTCTTGAATGAGCGGAGTCCTTTTCACTGCGAGGTTGGATGTTTCCTCCCTCCCCAATTAAAAACTGAGCACAGCTCATATTGCACAGGTGGTTTGCGGTTACCTTTTGAAAGCCGTCTCTCACAGGGTTACATCAGGGTGGCGCATGCTTCAGTCGCTCTGTATCTCAGTTATCAGACACACTGCCCTCTATTACACATTCATGCCTCATTAAATGTGAGTAATTGTATTCAGGGGAAATAAATGTTTCAGTTTGTTTGATGTGACTTAAGATGACAACGAATATTTGTTTACTAAAGCCTCACAGGAGCAGACTTACCTGCCACATGAGCTCCAGAGCTATTACATCCACGATGATGCTAAATGACTAGTCCCTTAAAATATACTAAAATAAATAATCACAAGGTAGTATTTGTTCGTTTAAAATAATGAGATATATATATACTATTTTATAAATAGTTGAGATAAGGTCAATTATATATCTTAAGTGGAATTAGATTTCCACCTTTTTATAGCCATTGGAGGTTCCTTAGTCATCACTGCATGGAACTAAAGTCTTAAACTTGAATATTGCACATTATTTAGGTCTTATGAAAGGTGGTCTGATGGGATGTTGTTGATAAAGATGTGCTGCAGCTTTCTGAGTCAGTGTTACCGATCTGCAAGGTTACAGTGCGCTAAAGCAACAAAGCACATCCATTCATCTTCAGCTGGTGAATTATAGAGAAGGCCAGGCCTAATGGGGCGAATGAATGGCATGCTTAAATACTGGTAATGAAACCACATCAACATAAAAACACACTTAAAATCCTTTATTCAAAAAATAGTTTATACTGTCAGAATGTGTTTTTGTTGAATAGACATGAATCATGATGCATCTTTTTCTAAAGCTTTCCCCCACATCCTATCAGACCATCTTGTTCTGAATGAAATGGGCAGAGGGGTTAGGAGGGGGCTGTGAAGGAAACATCCAGAATGTCCTCTGCCAGAACAGAGCAAGCTGCCCATGTCGCCCTGAGGGGGGGGGGGTGACATGCCGACCAGAGTGAGTGACATCCATAACACTCTCACAGTAATTAGTTTTTAAATAATGAACACTTATCTGGTTACAAAACAGCCTCAAAGTAATATTGATGCCTCCATATGACATGCATAAGTAAAGAAGACCATCAGCTAAGTGTGGCTAATGCTCTTTAGTACTGATGCTTATAATCAGGGTCCGATTTCCTGCCAAATAAGAAAAGAAGAAACATATTTACCAGGAACTCCAGGAAAAGAGCTTCACCTCACTGCTCTTACGATCTAACACCGACAGCACACTTTTCGAGGCAGGGGCCATATTGATGTGCCAGCTGAAGAGAAGGAAGGAACAAGGGAAGGCACAGGAGACCGTGCTGCAGGAAAATGAGAAGAACTCAGGTGACCGGGAAAACACCTGTTCTCCCCAGAGACTGCCAAAATCAAGTAGTAGTATCTTTTCGTATTTATTCTTAATGAGAGAAAAACAAGCTGCCAATTGTGAGTTTCCAGTAACTTGACTGATATTTTAGCGACAGTGAAATAATGTTGTTTATTGCCCCAGGGTGCCAGGCAGGTCCTGGCTTGATTGGGTTGTTTCCAGGGAACTGTCAAAGCAGCTTGTTATGAATACATTAGGAGGAGGAACTCCCAGGGTGCACCTGTCAACATTGTTAAAAATAAAAGCCTCATCCAATTCTCCTTACTGTGCCCTCTCTTCCAGGCCTGGATGTATACGATAAGGATTAGTTGGGTTGAAAAACTCATAAGGTTGCAGGCTTATGCTTGACCCTCAATGAGCCAGTAGGAACTCAAGGTTGACAAATGTGTGAGAGAAGGCATTACATTTGGAGTCAATGTTGTCATAATTAGCTAGAATATGTGAAGGAGAGTTACCCATCAATTTGACATCACATGTTTGTAATGTATCCAGTTATCTAAGTCATTCCAATAGCCATAGAGGGAGCAGTGATGTGTAAATTGACCGCTGAAATGTAGTCTTTGAGGTCCTGCGTGATGATACCTGTGAGGTAATCATGTGGTGTTTTCATTTTAGCATTACACGGACAGAACATGCGGTTTAACCTTAGCATGACCATGAAATGACTTGTGACCTACGACTTCATTAGCTTGTCCTTTAGAAAGATGTTATCCCATGCTGTGGTTTCAATTATTATGGATTGCATATCAAAGCATTTTGATTTAACCTGCAGCACTGAGGTCAACAATCATGTAAGATAAATCATACCAAGGACAGTATGAAACAATATAGACCATATGTGTGTGCTAATATATTTCATTGTGGACCAACAGCCATATAGTCGGTTTTGGATATTGCAAATGGAAAGAGGATTCTCCTAAAGAATAATGGATTTGATACTAAATGACTTTCCCATTCAGATATAATTTAATGAATCTGCAGAACAAATGGTCATAATCCATGATTTATGTGTTTAACATTTATTAAGGGCTTAATTAGCTGTCCCACACCAAATGGGTTTCTTGGCATCTCTGTGCTGTGCTCTGGGATATATTTTTTCAAAAATATATTTACAAAAAAGACATCATAAAATCCTAGAAATATCAAAGATACAGTGAGAGTTTTACTGGCATACAGCAGTAACAGCTGTTGCAGTAAGTGATACAGTAGCATATTCTCTAACAGCTCCTTCAAGGGATGTATTGAAACCATGACATGTACACAAATACACATATTATTTAACAGCTAGAAAGAAACTAAATGCCTTGATGATCATTTGATCAAATGATCATTTGAGTCCTATGCCACAAACTTCAGCCTCTTGTTTGGTATTTATGCAAGCTTTTAGATCCCTTTTTTTCTACTAATTCATCCAAAAAACAAAAGAAAGTATAATTCATACACACAAAGATGAACAAAATGTGTAGAAGCGGGAGGGCTGAAGCATAGCTTGGGAAGTAGCCCTCCGTGCATCATCCTAATACAACATCAGCATTATTGCGTCAAAAAAGTATAGAAATTAAGGAGTACACAGAAATAAAGAAAACTGGAGGGAAAAAAAGTTAGGGCAAGGCAAAAATAAATTAAAATATAAGAAAACTAGATATAGGGTCATTTTCTGCACATGTCAATAGCAGTTTCAACTATCTTTTTTGGAAATGAAAATACTATATATATAAACATATGTACACATGTACTTGGCAAATTAATAATAATAATATAAACATTGTGAACACTTATATCTCCACTAGAAATGAAAAGGGGCCCTATTATGCTTTTGGGGGGTGTTCCTGTCCTGTAGTGCATGTGTAATATAGATGTGTGTGCATGTAAATGGTCTGCAAAGGCTAAAATCCCTGTGTTCCGATTAGAGGGAGTTTCTCTCCCACACACCCCAACATGCTAAAACACCTCATTTGGACCGCTTTGTTGTCTTCTGGAAAATAGTGACTATAACAATCGCCATTCCATTGGCTAGCGCTTCAGCACATTGTATGTGATAGGCGGTATATCCCTGAGCGGTTGACCAATCACAGCAGAGCCAGATAGCTAACCAATCAGAGCAGACTGGGCTCTGGTTTCAGACAGAGGGTGAAAAGAAGTGCTGCAACACAGGCAGTATGAGAAAAATAAAGAGCTTTTTGAACATTAAAGCATGGAGACATGTCACAGAGGCACAAAATACAAATATGAACCTATATAATACTGTGGATGTGGGCTGAATATTTCTGGTATTTCCAGAAGAGGCTTACTGAATCTAACGTTACAAACTGCACATATGCTTTTATTTCATTCTTGTCTGAAACTGTGTTTATGCTATTAAATACTGCATTCAAAGCCATATGTGTCAGTTCAAAAATGCAGCCCTTCCAGTTTTGTCCTGTTTGTCCCTTTAATCGAATTTCATCAGGCCAGTCGAATCAATGTCAGCTGTACTTCCTTCCCACTATACATTTCATTTCAAACAATCACCTGAAGGCATTTGTAGCATAAAAAACCGGAGCCACTGTCCTCAGGTGCTCATGTAAGGTCACCCCCACCCACAGAGACAGCCGTGGTAATCCACAAGGTGATTTCTGACGGAGTCTGATCTGGAATGAGTCATATTTATGCAGCTTTTTACTCCGACAGCAGTCCAGAGATTGAAGTCACTGTTTAGAGGGGTCACCTCATTTTCTATTTTGTCCCAGTCTCCCGCCTCCTTTCACATCAGATATGCATCCTCACAGTAAAAGTCAGACTTGGTCAATGTGTGTGTGGGTTTGTGTTTACTTGGTCTCTGTGTAAGCACTGATGAGATGCACATGTCCTGGTCTGTTGGGCGAAAGC